CCATTCTTACAAAATCTTTTCTAAAATAAAATCAACCATCTAAAACATAAGCCTTTGAATTTACCCCCTTTATTTCTTTTCTCTTGACCCTCACAACATTATTCTAATAATTAGTCTGAGAATATGGAGGCGTATAGTCAACAAGAGGATTGAAACCCCTAAAGCAAGAAAAAAGGGCAACGACATGGCAAAGTGTGCTCTCCAAACCAAAAGTCATTCTTCGGTCACGTTAGGTTCGGAACGGTACAAACAAGTACAACAGAGAAGCAAAACATCAGAGGGTCCCCCGTCTATAAGACGTACCAGTTAATCCTTCTGAAAACACTAATGAAATAGCATTATAGGACATCAAACATAAAAACATTGCATGCATAAAATGTTTTTGAACAAGGTCCTATTTTCTTAAAAAAAAAAAATCTTCTAAAATTCGAGACTGCCGTCTCGGCTTCTCAGATCGCCGTCTCGACCAGCGTAGAAACGAGACCGCCCTCCCGAAATTGAAGATCGTCGTCTCGCTTTGGACAAAAACGAGACTGCCTTCTTGATTGGCGAGAAGGTCGTCTCGCCATAAGCCCAAAACAAGATCGCCGTCTTGAAGTTCCAGACGGTAGTCCCGAGTCTCACAAAGTCGAGACCGCCGTCCCAAAATCCCAGACGGCGGTCTCTACCTGCAACGAAAAATCTATAAATAGGGGGCCTTGGGGTCAGTTTTGGGCATCCACTTTTGCATCCTCATACATACTTTTCTACATTCTTGAGTGCTTTTTCATTAAAAATGCATAGAGGAGAGACTTCTAGAAAGAGGGGTAAGGGTTCCGGCCCAAGCACATCTGCGGCCCCGGCTCCTCTGGACCTGACCTAACTAATGCCCCAGCACCAGGCCCGGCTCGAGCACATCCGGGGCTATACCTAGCATCCCATGCTGAGGTTGGACTTCCACATCCTCGCCGAGTTTGGATGGGAGGACGAGGTGTGGGGATTCATTGAGAGCATCGGGTGGGACTTCCTCCTCCAGCCTCCTCCCACCCGCATGTATACGCAGTCAGTAATGGAGTTCCTTGCCTCCATTACGCTGATGGAGCTACCCACCATGATCCTAGGCATCCCTCCGATCAAGATGGTCTCCTACTTCATGAATGGGTCTTACCGGATTACTACGCTAAATGAATTCAATCAACGTCTCCATCGGCTTCGTACAGCCTGAGGATATCCTGACCCCAAGGTATCAGGGAGCCGTCTGTGAGCGGCCGCCTACCCTCACAGCCAGTGAGATGTGGGAGGATCTCACCGGGGCGCAAGTCCTGCCGACCCTACTGAAAGGGTCCGTTCTCCTCCCCGCTCTCCGCATTTGCCACAGGGGACCATTCATGGGCGGAAGGAGAGTCAGGGAAAGGTCACCCACCCTGACCTCTTTGCCCTGCACTGCATGCTCTATGGGCGTCGGTGTAATCCCGACTACTTCTTCATGAAGGCTCTTAAAGATTTCGGGTGTCGTCCTGTTTGAGCCATCCTCATGGGTCCCCTCATCACCCCTTTAGTTGAGAAGTGGGGGTGCCGCGACGGAGAGAGCATCCCCTCCGATCTTCGACCCGAACACATCAACGGGTCTATGCTTGTCAGCATGGGGATGCTCATCCGACAAGGGACCCAAATGGCCCTTCACCCATCGCTCGTCATGAACCTGGACCTTCAAGATCTAGTGGCGATGCAGGACATGCTGACGCCCCTAGAATTCTAACAGCAGCAACAACAACAACAGCGATAACAGCAACAACAGTACGGGGACGACTTCGCTGGCATCAACTGCAACATCTACAACATGCGCCAGCAGTTCGACCAGATGTCCTTGAGACAGGATATCTTCGAGACCCGAATGGAGACCTTCGGCCAAATACAAGAGGAAATGAGACAAGACCTGGGCCTGCTCTGACAAGAACATCTCAGCTCAGTCCGGAGCCAGGAAGAGTTTCAAAGACACATGTATCGGCAGTTCCCCCCTCCCGGATCATCTCCTGGCTCGAGTCCACCACCGTCTTAGGGATATTACCCAAAAATAACTGTTGTAATAAATTTTATCATGAATAATTTTTTTTCCATTCATCTTTACTCTCTCTTTTCGAAAAAAAAGTCAGCGTAACAAAAAAGATTAAAAGTAAAAAGACTTACGCTTAGTCCAGAAAAAGCCAAAATCCAAAGTTGCGAGAAAAAAGATAAAACCACGAAAAAGGTAGGATTAAAGCCGATACGTTAGCCAAGGAAAACTGGCAAGACGACCTCATTGACCAAAAATTCCCGACAACCAAACAAAGTCGGACAACAAAGAAAGAACAAGACAAAGACTCGCCAACAATCAACAAGGTAGATGACCACCAGAAGACTCTACCAGAATAGCATCTCTCACAAACTCCGACGCATGAGCTAGAGCACTAAGCCGCCACCACCACTTTGAAATAAAGAAAAGTCCCGAAAACAAAGTCATGCACACAGGCAAAAAACTGCGTATGAGCCAGAGCAATAAATCGCAACCGGTCCCACGAAGTGGACTCAACACCAGATGGGGGTGTGTACTCATCAGGCCTTACAAAAGGGGGCTACCAGACGGGGGTTCATACTCGTCAAACACCAGATGAGGGTGTGTACTCATCAGGCCTTATAAAAGGGGGCTTACCAGATGGGGGTGCGTACTCATCAAAGCCTTACGAAAGGGGGCTCAGACCAGATTTTCAACCAGATGAGGGTTCGTACTCATCAACCGAAAGGATCAGCTATCGCATCAAAGGAGCATCCTAGAAGCATACACATTTTTTTCCCAGAGGATCAGCCACCACAACCAACCGGAGGACAACCGGGCAAGAGGGTTAACTCCTTCACCCTCCAACCGATCCTTTTGGCATATTGAGCCAATAGTCGGCTAGTCAGGTGAAGGAGGGGCAACTATAGAGCCCAAATCTTGCCCGACCTCAAAATAAAGAGCAGAAGACCTCCAATTCGAAGATGGGCAAGGCCTACAAGGTCCCTAGGATAGACTATTAGGCCCCATGTTAGAATAGGAAGGCTTTTCCGTACAAAAAATAAGGATTTCCACCTTAATGGTCGAGACTGCCATCTCGCTTATCGGGACAGCCGTCTCGCCAAATGGCAAAGTTGAGACGGCTGTCTCGCCACTTGCCAATGGCGAGACCACCTTCCCGATTGGCGAGACAGTCCTCTCGCCATTTGGCAAGTTGATACCGTCGTCTCGATTGGCGAGACGAACGTTTCGCCATTTGTTAAAGACTAGACCGTCATCCCAAATGGCGAGACAACCGTCTCGACCTTGCCAGGCGAGATGGCTGTCTCGACCTGACATGCGCGAATCCCTATAAAAGGGGAGCGCTCTCCCCTCCATTTCACACCGTTCTTCCACTTTTCCTTCTAGCATTTCTTAGAATTCTTCTTTTAGAGCCCCTCCGAAGCATTTCCGGAGTTTTCTGAGAGTTCTTAGAGAGTTTTTATAGCATTTCGAGAGAGAAAAGTCAACATTGTATAGCGAAGAACTGCCAAAACGTGTCCTAACTTTCAAAGAATTAATCAAAGCTTGCTCCGGAGGTTTCTTCACACTCTCTCTCTCTTTTATCGCTTTATCATTTATATGTGCATTAATTAGGGTCATGTAGTCGTTATCTTTTAATTCCGCAAATAAAAGGGTAAAAGCGTCATTTTTAATTTATTTACGAAATAACCGGCCTATCATAGGGAACCCGAAATGGGCGTCATAGGGAAGTTAATACTTTCCCTACACGTAACTAACTCCCTTACCCAACTCTGGTTATAATGACAAAAGTTAGTTTTTCTTAAAAAACTAATGCCTTCTTTTTTCCTTTTCCGATGTTTTCGGTAAAAACATTGGTGGCGACTCCATAAGAACCCCTTTGAAAATTTTCTTTTAGGTCCAATCCTGTTATCGGACAACCTACAAGCTCTCTTTCGAAAACCTCGCCCTTAGGTCAAATCCGGTTATTGGACAACCTAAAGACGTTATAACACCACCCATATAAAACACGAAAATGGAAGTCGAAATCATTCCGTCGTTCCGACATCTTCTTTTCACGGAGGCTGCACTTACAAAAAAAAATTATAACAATAAATAAGTTCATATAAGGTAATTTAGATAACTGTAACTTGAAATCTATCGGACTGCAGTATAATAATAATAAAAAATCTCAGAAAAAGAATCGTATAGTTGTCGTGTTTATAGACTTTTTATTAAGGTATTTTAAATAGTAAATTAGATTTGTTAATATTAATTACGACAGAAGAATTAAATAGATTAATTGTACATTCTGATCATATGTATTAATATAAAAAGTATTTTCATTACTAGATAAATGTGATGAATTTGAAAATGTGTACAAATTTTCATAATTAAATGGCTAAGAAAGAGTTTGAGTCGTATGATTATTAATTAGGATATTTATTTTCTCATTAATAATATGAATATTTTATGTTAATATCATAAAATTTGCATATTAATTATTTAAATATTATATATGTTTAAATTTTGTATATTATTGATATTTTTATTATATGTTTTATATTTTTTTAGTCGGAGGTGTATAATTATGCGATTTTTCAAGTCAGAATAGTTTAAAGATATGAATGAGGTTTACTTTTGGAACAGGAGAAATATAAATATGCAAGGTTAAACTAAAAATGTTGATTATGTAATGTTTTATAATTTATATACGGTGAAATGTTGATTGTCTAATGTTTTATAATTTATTAGAATGAGTTTAATATTTTTATGTAATGTCAAAGAAGTAAAAAATTACTTTCCATAAATCTAAATAAAGTCTTCGCATGTATTTAATATTTTTATGTGGCTTGAAGTTCGATGGATGAGGCCTTGAATTTGGACCAAGAGAAGCAGTGGATAAAGTGGGAAGAAGAAGAAGAAGAAGAAGAAGCGGCAAAAGAGGTGTCTTTGATGATCTGAGAGGCATCATCCATCATTGTTTGGAATGGCTTCTCTTCTCCCTCCAACTCCAACTGCAACTGCAATTTCCACACTTAAACACAGCCAAATGACCTCTCCCTTGAAACTCACCACTCCACACAATGCTACTTTCTCGCCAAACTCAAACCATCGTTTGAAGAGCAACTCTGCAAAGTGCCATGCACTGTTTGACGAGGTGGCCAAAGGGTTGGTGGAGAACAGTGTTGGCGTGGACCATTTTCAAAGTATCCAATCAGGAATAGTGCAGTTTGAAAGAGTGACTGAAGGCTTATCTGACATGCAGAGATGGGGGGTTCTCGTGTTTGGTGGGTTGACGTGGATTTACTTGACTGCGAGGCCAGGTGTTCTTGTTGGTGCCATTGATGCTTACCTTTTGGCCCCTCTTCAACTGGGTTTCGACAGTTTGGCTGGAAGGAGGAACTTGAAAAGGAGTGACTTTGTGATCGGAGATAAGCTTGGTGAAGGGTCTTTTGGTGTTGTCTATTCGGGTGTTTTGGTTCCGAAGAATGGGAATGGGAGTGTGGATATGGTGCAGAAGAGGGGGAGAGGCAAGGCAACACAGGTAGAAGCCAAGTCTAAGGATAAAGTCATTCTTAAAAAGGTATTGTTGTTGGAACTTTCTCAGGAAGGAAAGAACAGTGATCTTAAGTTGGTATTTGTTTGTTGTATGCACAAACTCAGATAGACTTTTACCTTTGGTAATTTATATTCATTCTTAATGCAATCCTTTATTATGCAGAAATTAATTTGAAATTCCAATTCTGATAGGAGAACAATGCATAAAGAACTATATCTAAATTTTATCCTTTTTTAGTGTTTGCACTTGTTGAACTCAATTGAACTGTTTTCTTCACATGTTTCTCTCCTACAATTGTTTGAGTTGTCCTGCATCTCTTGGGTAGTTGGATGTGATAATAAAGTTCAAATGTATTTACCGTAACGTGAGTTGGATATGAGAATGATCCAACCAGCATTTGTCATGCTAGCATGGGCTGCAGTGTTGGTTAGTTGAGCCTATTCAATGTGTTGTATTAAACATGATGAAGTGTTCCTTTGTTGTTTTTAAATTTCACTGTATAATCAGTAGGCATTAAGTAAAGTTGGCTAAGTGCACCCCACCCTATGATAGAGCTCCTCGGGTGGTTTTAGTATTCCTCTTAAATCAAAATTAGAAAAATTCAAATGTTTAAACAGGTAAATTGGATACTTGACTTGCAGAATTTCCATTTTCTGCTTTTAGATTATCAAGTCTATAAAAAGAATTTTGAAGCTGACTAATGGGATGTGCAGGTTAAGGTTGGAATCCAAGGCGCTGAGGAGTTTGGTGATTATGAGGAGTGGTTCAATTACAGGCTATCTAGGGCTGCTCCCGAAACATGTGCTGAATTCCTTGGAAGTTTTGTGGCTGATCAAACAAATTCACAGTTTACAAAAGGTGGAAAATGGCTTGTTTGGAAGTTTGAGGTGCTCTAGCTTGTATTTTTATTGCATAAACAATAGCCTTAGATGAAATAACCATGCACTATCTAACTGTGTGGAGTTTTATAAAATAATTGTTTACATGGTGCTAAATGCCATCTTGAGTTTTATAGATTAAATTTGTCATCTTAGTTTAGTTTATTCCTCCATTTACTTAAATTAATTGGAGGGTTACCCTTGTGTCAGGGAGATCGTACTCTTGGTGATTACATGAAGGATCGCAACTTTCCTTCAAACTTAGAATCTGTGATGTTTGGACGTGTCTTGCAAGGTGTTGACTCTTCGAGACGAAATGCATTGATCATCAAACAAATAATGCGCCAGATCATTACGTCTCTTAGGAAAATTCATGATACTGGCATTGTTCACAGGGATGTAAAGCCAGCCAACTTAGTGGTTACCAAACGAGGGCAGATTAAACTCATTGATTTTGGTGCAGCAACAGACTTGCGGATTGGAAAGAATTATGTTCCCAACCGTACCCTTTTGGATCCTGACTACTGCCCCCCTGAATTATATGTCCTCCCAGAAGAAACACCAAGTCCACCACCAGAACCAATTGCTGCTTTCCTTTCACCAATCCTTTGGCAGGTTTTACTACTTATACCCTATTCATGCAGTCAACATATGGTTCTTCTGTAGGGATGGCCTATCGTATCAAATCAGTTAGAGCAACATATGGGCTAAGCTGTTCACAAAATTAGAATTGTTCCGTAAATTAAAATTTAAGAACTCCTAGTAATAATCTTCTAATTTAAGAGCATTAACTAAAATATTTGTTAATATGTTAATCACATACTGACTGCATTAGTTACTCTCCTGATTATTCCACACATATCTGTTCTGCTCAAGATGTTCTAAAGTGGAGTTATTGTGATTATTGTTGCAGTTAAACAGCCCCGATTTGTTTGATATGTATTCAGCTGGGATTGTACTCCTTCAAATGGCAATACCATCTTTAAGGTCCTCTGCTGCTTTGAAGAATTTCAACTTGGAACTGAAAAACTGCGGATATGATTTGAAAAAATGGAGGGAGTATACTCGCATCAGACCTGACTTCCAAATTCTAGATAGTGAATCTGGTAGAGGGTGGGACTTAGCAACGAAGCTTGTATCTGAGAGAGGTTCCCTAAGAAGAGGACGTCTCTCTGCTGCCGCAGCTCTGAGGCATCCTTATTTTCTTCTGGGTGGTGATCAGGCAGCTGCAGTCCTTTCAAAACTAAGCTTAAGCAGAAAGTGAGCTGCTTAGCAATGTGAGTATATTATTCCCTTTAATAACTGGTTATATTTCAAGTTTAAATAGTCAAGTTTGATCATATAATAATTTTTTTTCCTCATGCTGCGGCCGTGTTGGCTTCTGAAATTGTATCTAGAGGTATCTTCTGTATCCTTGACAAGAAACAAAGCAAGATAATTTAGAATGAATAGAAACTGTTCTTTCAGTTTTACTTTTACATAATTGAAGTGGATGAAAGAAAATCACTAATGTGAGCAATCTGTATCTGTGCACTCTCTTTTGCATCACAAGTTGATGTAAAAATTGCTAGTTAACTCATAAGGTAGTTTCTCAGTGTAAAAACAGCAGGTTTCTTTCTCTTTTGGGTTACTGGTAATATGATAGGATGGTTTAATCATTCGTTTGTTTTTTTTGTTGTGTAAGAACTAAGAATCATATCACTTTTGATTGAAGTCCTCTATGGTAACATTATTTTAAAACATTTATTTCCACCAGGAGGAGGAGCACATTTGAATTCAAAGGTGTCCCACAGCCAGCCTGCCTAACGTGTGAATAGAACACCATCAATTATAACATTTTGTTCCATTTTTTTTGTTTGTTTGGGTTTTCCTCCCAAGTTTAAATCAGGGGGAAATTTTTTACTCAATTTCAGGCATGCAATAAGCCTGAGGACATCAAAGCGTTATGGAAGGAAAAACTATTGCTGCAGTATACTTTAATGTAACCTATGTGGAAACAATCTCAAACAGGAGCACATAGTGGTTGTAAGAGCTTAATCAGTTATCTCCAATGGTTTCTTTCTACAAAAGGTGAATGCTTGAAGATTGGTGGGACCTTATCAGTCAGACCATAAGTTTGAGTTCTATGCTTGAAACATGGACACACAGCCAAGTAGAGCTGCACTCTATTGACACGTAGTAGATGAGAATTATATACCTACGTCCAGGATGATATTGTTCATTCAGTTCCATATATCTCTATCATCTGAATAGTATTCTTGTACGAAATTGTGATTCTTGTTGTCTTCAAGAGTTGTCATTGATATAATAACATAGTACTTCACACCAAAATTACTAGCTTATTTTACAAATTGCCATACAACTGTCAGAACATATAAAGTAAAACTATCGGCATCAATACAAACAGAGTGGTGGTATGCTGCATACCCTTATTTATCTCTTCTCTTCACTTTTCTATGTAGTATCATTTTCATACTGAAGCTACTATCTTGTATCCACCACAGACATGCTTTTTTACATAGCAGAAGTTTTCAACTTTCCACATATGGTATTAGAGTTCGTCATGATAGAGTACTTTTTCCAACAGATTTCTTTTCTTACAACCCCAACTGCATTTCTTAGAACACAAGGAGTTGAAGAGGGCTAGCCTCGTGGATTGAAGGGATATAATGCTTGATGTGGAAGGTGATTTTGAGAGAACAATTGCATACCCATCATCCATGTAATCCGTTCCATCAGGAAAGAGCTGCCACACAAGGCTTCCAGCCCCACTACCTCCTTTCTTGGTAGAGTTTAGGATTGTCTTGTACACAGTGTTTATAAGGTTGTCTCTGTATGTTGAATTGTAGCCAGGAGCTTTTGCAGACACACCAAACTCACCAAAAACAACTGGCATTCCAAGATACTTTTCAGCATCCTCTATGTGCGCTTCCATCCAAGACTTTATAAATTGAAGGTGGGAATCAGCAATTGATTGTGAAATCCTTTGGCAAGGTAGTTAATCATAGTCAGAAACAATCATACTCATGCTGGATTTGAGATAATTAAATGAATGGTAAAAGCAAAGAAGAAACACTTTGGAATGATACAAAATTACAAATTAATGTAGTTTTACAAAATTTCACTTTGGAATAATACTATATATACAATAGTAAAAAGTCATCATTGAATAAACTTAATAACTTACCAAGAGTCTGGATATATGTGAACAGAAGCGAAGTCAACACCCAGAACCTGGTGGTTCCTGATAAAATCAGTTCCGACCTGTTGAGCATATGCATTTGGGTTTAACTGATATCTCTGAGGTGTCGAGGGGCCATAAAATCCTTCCAGTCCAATCTCCACTAGGTGTTTTGTATCAATGCTTTTCACATAGAATGCCATTTCTTTTATCCAATCCTACAATGTATTCAGTTGAGCCCAAGATGTGATATCATGAAAGGAATTCATTACTTGAATGCAATGATTATATGATATTACAAACTGAAAGAACAGTTCTATTGGTCATTTCTTTTAATGAATAGCAAAAGTTCTGGAGGGGCAAACCTGTAACACATCACCTGAGGAGTCTGATGTGCATCGAGGCTCATTCATCAGTTCCCAAGCAAAAATGGTAGGATCTTCCTTGTAAGTGATATTTGTGAATGTATTAACTCTATTTAGCACCGTCTACACAGTGAAAACACAGCACGCAACCCGGTGAGTTATAGGTAGTTGAGCATCGCAGCAAATAACAAAACAAGCTTTAATCCCAGTGTCCAATTCCCAAGCAAGAAAAGGTGGATTTTGATCTGTTGGATTGTAAGGAACTAACTTGCCTTAACATGACCCTTATAGTAGCTTCTGAGAGTTGGATGTGAAAAGAAGTCATCATCAGATGTCAAGTTAAGGCCAGCTGCATTGCCCCACTTCACATACTGTGCTTTGCCACCGTAAGCCTCCCAGTTGTTAACCAGTGATAAGATGAGCCTAATTTTGTATTTCTTTGCTTCACTCACCACAAAATCCAAGGCCTATGGTTCCAACAATAAAATGGAATTGCATGAGGATTGTTATTTAACTGCACATATAACTTGAAATCTGACACTATCATCATTAAAACATCAATAACCACTAACCGCAATATAACGGTGAAGAAAAAATGATTATACAAGAGAAGTCCAAATCAAGATACTGTTTTCACTAGTACAGAAAAAGTGTTGAAACTACCAAGCAGATAATTTAGAAGCGCTGACCTTGAACACAACTTCATCATAAACTGATGGAGATTTCTGAAGAGCACGCCATTGGCCATCATTGAAGGCCCAAGTCCTACAAACTGACATACCCACAGAGGACGCATGTTTGAACACCTCAGTGACCTTTCCTCTGGTGGACTGATCCGCAGCAAATACCATCAACCAGTACGTGTTGAATCCATTAACATAGAAAGGTTGGTCGTTCACCACAAATTGGTTTCCTTTCGTTTGCACCATCTGCCATTCATTTTCTTCCATGTCTCCCATTTCACTTCTTAACCCCGAAAAGAAGGAGGAAAAAGATATAAGTAAGCACCAAAAGTTATAAAGAACAGACGTAAGAATTTTTGTACATGAAGAATTAACAAAAGGGTTTTCGATACATACCCATAACTTAAGATAGAATCTGCTATATCAATGCTTTCCCCACCTTCATATTCACTGACATCAAATGCAGTTGAGCTTAAACTTTTGGTGAGAGTCAGAAAAAGGACCAAAGAAATGGTAAGTAATCCAAATCTATTGTGTGTTTCCATAGAGCTGGTCACCTAGCCACGATGTCTTATGGTGTTTTGGACCACATTATATAATTGATCATCTTAAATATTCTTTACATAGAGGTGCATCAAAGACAAAAGAGTGGTTTGTAAGTTGAGACCATATCACTACTCTAGCTTTAAAGCGAAGAAAAAGCTTTTATTCTATTCTCTTCCATTGCTTAACAATGGTTAGGAAAGTCGGGTAGGAGTAAAGCAGCAAAAAATGTGTGTCCTAACTGCAAAGGGACGCTCATGTCAAGTGGGTTCCACAAACCACACGGTTTCTTTGGTTAGCCCCTTGGCAAGTAGTCCTTTACAAGACATTGACAATCAATTTTGTTAGACTACAGTTAAGACTAGAAGTGATGACAAACATAGCTACTTCTCAACACAACACAAGCATGTTGTAAATAAAACGCCACCAAGTTTGTTCTAATTATATCTTCACACTATTTTTAAATTACTTCTTCACAATCAACTGTCATAGACATATATATATATAGTAAAGGACTTGATTTTCGAATGAGAAATTCAACAAAAGACCATATATACCTGCTTCTGTGTGCTGAGTCCATGTACCTGTCTCTTCTTCTCTGCTAAAACCTTCTTGAAAGAGTTTGATCCTTGCTGGGAAGAAATAGAAAATATAGATGGAGATCAGAGGAACTTGGCAAAATAAGAAGAGGGTATCGGTTGGAATTGAGACTTCTTTGGATTGTTTGTGATAATTGTACTTTACCAGCAACATATGATGTTTTGTGAGGATGGGAATTAGATATATTAATAATGCCTGCCTCCGAAGTCAACCGTGATCATTTGGGACTATTGTTGTGCTTGAACTAGCTACTTGTCCTTGTTCCAAGTTAAGAACAAGCATTTATGTTTGCTTGTTCCCAAGTCATGTTCTTACTACTCATGTCAAGTCCTGGATTTCTTTTACACGATTTTTTCTTACAGCATTTTGATTAAAGACTCGAATCTATGCCAGATTCAGAAAAGTCATGAAGGTACACATTTTGGTGAGGAATAAGATCCAGATTGCATTGATATCAAACTTGTATATTTCCATTCATAAATAAAGGACAAGTTAATATGGTTCAAGGTTTAGTAAGTTACTATTATTTTCATCATTTTGTGTGAAGAAACAACTATACATGAATGGAATGTATGTCCATCCTTTGCCACACTTTTAAGAAGTGACACTGAAAAAAGTTGTGTTTCAAGGGAAACCTTGTACCATGTTGCCCAATGTACCCTTCACTGTTTATTTTATATTGGAAACTTTCTACGACATAAAACTCAACTTTTTATCGAGTTAAAATTGTAGCAATTTAATTATAAAAATTTGGTTTAATTACCTATTTTTAAATATCAAAATATTATGATTTATTTTTTACTTAAAAAGAAATTCATATAACTAATGACAAAATTTCTTATAAAATTAGATATCATAACTTTTCAAAGTTTTATAACTTATATCTATTTATAATTTTGATTTCTTAAATTTAACGATAATTAAATATTTTTATTTATATATTTATAATTTTTATATTATTTTATATTTTTATATTATTTTTATTAATAATATAAACTTAACATTCGTCGTTACATATAACTTTTCTTTTTCTTCTCCTCTATAGTTTTGTTTTTTTTATAATTTTTTTACATAATAAAATTATAATATATAAATGAAAGGGTAAACCTATTTTAAAAGTCAATTTTATAATTTTTTTTAAATTGTATTTACGTAAGTAAGCAACTAGTTATTTATTTTCTTATTATTACCACTTTATGTTTAAAATTTTGTTTAAGTCATTTCTTTGTTTTTAATAGACAATATTTTTATAAGTATGAAGATAAATATGTTAATTTTCTAACTAATATTTTATATTAAGATATTATATTAAACTAATATTTAATTTTAATAATTAATTATTTTGAAATTATTAAAAGGTGAAATGTAAATAAAAATATTATAAAAATATGAATGTTTATAAAAATTAAAACAAAACTTATAATATAAGTTATTTAAAAATGATATGATAAGTGAGAAAAACAATAGAATCTAATCAATTAAAATTGTAATTTTTGTAAGCATTTTTTAACAATCCATTATCACTTTTAATCACTAAAATTTTAGTATAAATATGTTAATATTATGAGTTCTTAAGGAAAATAAATAAATATTAGAAGGTTAAATATTAAATAAATAAAATAAGAATAGTCTCTGATTATAATAATTAAAGTATTAAAAGGGATTCACTATGGAAAAAACCAACCAATTCTTATTTAAATATATACTCTCTATTTTTCATTTATCAGAACATAAAAAAAAAAAAAAAAAACATAGGAAGTCAGAAGTCAGAGAGCCAAATTTTACTTCACAAAAGGAATACTGGAGAGTACTACGGAAAAAGATACATGTATTCTTTGTTTACATGTACTGGAAATTATCAATTTTAAGATTTAGTTATTATGAAATTACACGTGATATCAAAATTAAATTGTGAAATTGTGTAATTTTTTTAAAATTATGTTTTCGTGAGTTTATGAACCTTAATTATGAAAATTATGAATTTTATTTTTGAAATTTTATAAAACCTAATTATAAAATTTAAGAATTTAAATTTGTAATATTTGAATGTTATATGCACAGTATTGTAACAATAGTTTTATATGTTTGTGTTGGAAGTGATATTATTCTATGCTTGGGTTTTATATATTAATGGGAAATTTTGAGAAAGTCCTTTACGTCTCCAAATATTTTGGTGTTATGCATATGTTAACCCAATTGCCCAGTCTCACTGCATAATCGGCGTTGATGACGTGCAATTATTATATCATTCTTCAATTGAGATTTATATACTTTATTGATTACATAATCGACTTCACTATGTATGTTTCATTGCATCGTATTTTATTCCACGTATTTTGCAATCATATATATGCTATATATATTTTGAATGAATTTGATGTTGCACCGTCAATGAATATGTTGCATTGTGAAAGAATCTATTATACAAACGTGAATGAAGGACACAGTGAATTTTGAGTGTTAATAAAATAAATAGTTAAAGTAATAGTATAAAATAATTTATTTATTTATATATGACGAGATTTAATGTTTTATCATAAAAATAATATATGTTAAAAATGAAATAATAAAAATACTGCATATGATTAATAGAAATAAAATAAATAAATAAATTTAAAATTAAATATATAATAAATTTGGTTAGTCATAAAGTAATTAAAAGTTTTAAAATTATCTAATTTTAAATTAGTGATAATTTATATCAATTATTCATAAAATAAAAAGTACTAATTATTGACCTTCTTATATGTTATGGGTTTATATATCACAAAAAAAGATGATCAATATACTTTAATTGTTTGATATTATATATATAACAACTTTCTAATTTAATAATGTAAAATCATAATAATTTTCTATTAATTAGAAAACTTAAATAAGATCTTGATTCTTTCATATACGATGATAAAATAGGTTATCTCGCTTTCTTTTACCTCGTTCCGTCTCTAGTTCATAAAAAAATGAGTGAGACAGATTGATTCGTTGTGTCAAAAGGCAGGTTGATGGGCTTGCAAGCTAATATATCAATATTTTTTTATATAAAATTTTTTATATGTATTTTAAAAAATATACCTTTAATTTTATGAATAATTTTTAAGTTTTTATTTATTAATTAATATTTTTACTAGATAAATTGAAAACTTACTACTTTTATGTGTTAAAATACCTAATTTAAACTTGATTGATTAATATTTATAATTAAATTATAATATTGTAATATATTTTTATATTTCAACATGACAAAAAAAATAATACTTTTAATTATAATTTTATATTTTAATTTTAATATATAAATAATTTTTTAAAGCGGACCAACGAATAATATATCTTGTTTTGCCTTGACCAATCGAGTTGGCAGGTTAGGTGAGACATATCAAAATGGGTTAATGGACTACAACTACTAACCTACCTCACCATTTTTTAGATGAATTGGCAAGCTAGTCTATTATGCTTATCCATTTTGCCATCTCTACTCACTTACGAGTAAGGGAGAAAGACATTGTGTACATTTCTCCATAATGCAGATTCTCTCAAGTGTTCGTGACTATCTTGTTTGTGAATTAATTATATAAAATTAAGATGAGAACAAAATTTTATTCCCTTGACTTCTTTTTATACGTTCTTTTGCTCTTGAAGGATAAAAATAGAAAGTGTACCTTTTAGGCTAGGGAGGGAACCATGTTTCACGTTAGTGGATATTAACTCCTTTTAAAACTGTTATACCCATTAAACAATAGTTATAAAAAAAATTATTCTTATTTTATTCATTTACCATTTAACCCTTTATTTATTTATTTTCTCTTAACAAGTCACATGTCATCACATGAGACATAAAACTTACATTCTCTCACTTGACTATATTGCATGTGACATTGCATAAATTATAAATAAATAAATAAATCCACATAATGTGTATTAAATGACTAAATCATTCTTTTAAATTGGGTACCTTATAATTTCCATAATTAAGAATAAGAACTAATTTGAGTCGTGACAGTTGTATGCCGTCACTCAATTGAAATAGTTCTTTCCATGTGCCACAAATTAGACTTCTTCTCAGTAGCAACATAATTAGAAACTCATAATTGATCCAACATAATGTCTTTATTTAAGATGGTAACTGTTTACATTACTCTAACACAGTTATGCATGCAATCAAAGAGAACAAGTCATCAGAAACGTATTATAATTGAGCTCAAAGTGTCAATAGTCTAATTAATATTATAAACATAACATTCAACCATCATTTTTAACAATAACACTCATGTTTTTAACATGTTCAATAAATATTTTGGGTGGTGATTCCTTTGTTAAAGGACCAACTATCATAAGATTTATGCTAATATATTCTATTAAAACTTTTTATTTCTGAACTTCCTCCTTTATGACAAAGTACTTTAACTCCATATGTTTAACACCTTTAGAGTACTTGCCATTTTTAGAGAAAAATACTGTTGCATAATTATCATAATACATCTTCAACAAACTCAAAATACTATCGACAATTTCAAGCCCTGCAATAAAGCT